CCCAGGAGTCTGAGACCAGCCTGGGCAACACAGGGAGACCCTGTGTCTACTTATCTTTAAAAATAAGTACATTTTAAAAATTACATCATCTGCAAACAAGGATAATTTGACTTCTTCTTTTCCAATTTGGGTGCCCTTCATTTCTTTCTCTGGTCTGATTGCTCTAGCTAGGACTTCCAGTGCTGTGTTGAGTAACAGCGGTTCAAGTGGGCATTCTTGTCATCTTCCTGATCTTAGAGGAAAGGCTTTCAGTTTTCCCCATTTAGTATCATACTAGCTGTGGGTCTGTCATATATGGCTTTTATTATGTTGAGGCATGTTTCTTCTATACTCAGCTTTCCGCGGGTTTTTATCATGAAGAGGTGTCGAAATTTATCAAATGTTTTTTCAGCTTCAATTGAAATCATCATATGGTTTTTGCCCTTCATTCTGTTGATATGATGTATCACATTGATTAATTTGCATACAACTATTTTTTATACTGAGAGTCATTGCAGAGCAGTGGTTTAGAGCTCAGACCCACGAGTCAAGTGGTCAGGGTCAGAAGCTCGGCCCAACGACTTTTTGTCTGTGTGACCCTGGGCAGGTCATTTCACATCTCTGTGTCTCAGTGTTCTCATTCGTAAAATAAGAGTAGTAATATTTAATAGTATTGTTGTGAGCATGAAACCAGTTAATAGATGTAATGCTTTAGAACATTCTGTTAGTGATATCTACTACTATCATTATTGTTTTATTCATAAAATTAAAAAATTGCATTCTGTCTGATCTGTTGGTTGTTTTATTGTTGCTAAACACAAATTTAGGTCTTCTATCCACTAGACCAGTTCTGTCCAATAGAAGTATAAGTCAACTACGTAAGTTATTGGAAATTTTCTAGTAGCTTCTTTAAAAAAAAGAGAAACAAGTGAAATTACTTGTAATAATATATTTCATTTAACCCAATAATTTACAAATATCATCAATTGAACATTTAATCACTATAAAATCACTGATGTGATATTTTACATTGTTTTTGGTTGTAAATCTCAGAAATATGGGATATATTTTACACTTGCTGCTTATTTCAGTGGCTCAATAGTCACATGTGTTTAGAGGCTCCTGTATGAGACCGAGTAGCTTTAGAGGGTTGGTAGTTAATCTTGCTCATTTCCGAAGTGTTCCAATTATCTGTTGCTGTGAAACAAGCCACCCCCAGATTTAGTAGATTAAAACAACGATGGCTTCTTATTTCTCACAATTCTCATTTAACTTATACATGCTAGATTGATGATTATTGCCATTATTTTGTGATAGTTGTGAAATGTTTGAACTCCACCATTCTGTCTACATTTATTAGTTGGAATTCTATGGTCAGGAATAACTTTTTCTTCTCTTTCACTCAGTCGTGTATTTAATTATACAACAGCATGAACTCACAGATTCTTGTTTTTTTTTTAGTAGGTTGTAACCCATTAATTATTTTGATATTCAAGTGATCTGACCATAGTATTTTAAATTTAGAAAACACCCTCTCAACACATGCTGAGGTACCTGGTAAGATCAGAACAAATTCTGCTATTTGGATGGTATTCTCAGTTCCATCCCTCCGACCCCTTTATTGTAATGTTTAAATGTTTCAGCCGAAATATTTCACAGGGTCTGCTTGCAGAGCCCCCCATTTATTCTCTTCAATAAATGTTCTTACAGGACAAAATTTGCCTAGCAAATAGTCTCTATTTGTGGTTCCTTTGAAGGTTTTACCAAATTTACTTGCTGAAATATCCTAGGGCTTTTCAGTTTCACTTCAATTCAGTATAGAGTAGAATAAGTCTTTCTCATTAAAAGTAAGCTTAATGAACAGAAGTTCCTTCCTACAAGGTAAGATACTCCCAAAGCACTACTGGCATATATAAAAAGATATAAAATCAGTATGTTGTAGAGATGTCTGCACTCCCATGCCCACTGCATGCTTCACAGTATGTAAGATATGGAATTAATGGCAGCGTCCATCAATGGATAAGTGGATAAAGAAAGTGTGGTATATATACATAATGGAATACTAGTCAGCCTTATAAAAGAAGGATGTCCTGTCATTTTCAATGACATGGATGAATCTGGAGGACATTATGTTAAGTGAAATAAACCAAGCACAGAAAAAGAAATATTGCATGATCTCACTTATATGTGAAGTGTACAAAAAGATAAGCTCATAGAAATAAAGGATAAAATGGCAGTTACCAGAGGCTGGGGGTTAAGGGAATGAAGAGAGATTGGTCAACAGACACAAAATTTCAGTTATAGGGAAGGAATTATTTCAAGAGATCTATTGTACAGCATGGTGACTATGGTTAATATCAACATTGTGTATACTTGAAAATTGCTGAGAGTAGATTTTAATTGATCCTTTCCACCAATAGTTATGTGAGGTAAGGCACATGTTAGTGTGATTTAGCCATTCTGTAAGGTACACATCTATCAAAACATTATGTGGCATACCATAAACACATACAATTATTACTTGTCAGTTAAAAAAAAATAAACATCTTCAAAGTTAATTTATGTGAGCATTAAACTCATTCTAGAATTGTATTTTGCTAACCAAAAAAAGATCCAGGACAAATGCTAAATCAGGATGCTGGAATAACAGTGTCACCTGGGACAATCTTGGTAAGGCTTCATCTTGTCCAAAGAGCCCTTGTGATTGGGCCTAGTCTCCTGGCTACTGTTCTCTTTCTGCCTGTGGTCTTTGCTCACCCAGCTCTTTGGTTTGGTAGATCAGGTTGATCTTGACTACTTTGCATTTGCTGCTCCTCTGCCTGTAACGTTGTACCCCTCCTTGCTCATATGGCTAATTTCTCCATAGCCTACAACCCTAGATGCTGGCGTCATTTTCTCTAGGTGCCTTCCCTTTATCCCTCCAATGTACTCCTTTTCCTACCTGTACTACGTATACGTGTTCCATGATACTTCCTTCTTCACCTTTTTGAAACACCATGTTCAATGTGCTATTATTTAGGAGTCTTGCTCTTTGCTTCCTATGATGACAGTTATTGGATGAACTGATCTGCGCTAGGTGATAAGTGATGGTGATGAATTACTTATCTGTTCTGAAAACATACTTGTATTTCATTGAGGCCCACTGCGGTGGTAGCCTTCACAGTAAGTGTGCACACAGCTAAGAGCAGGTGTCCCCAAACTTTTTACACAGGGGGTCAGTTCACTGTCCCTCAGACCGTTGGAGGGCCACCACATACTGTGCTCCTCTCACTGACCACCAGTGAAAGAGGTGCCCCTTCCTGAAGTGCGGCGTGGTGGGGGGGCGGTTAAATGGCCTCAGGGGGCCGCATGCAGCCCGCGGGCCATAGTTTGGGGACGCCTGGCTAAGAGTATATAAGACCATTCATAAGGATGCAAGTAGAAAATGTAGTAACTCTAATTTCTATTATTTTATTGAGCAAAGCTAAGAAATTAAAGTTCTTCTCTTCTCTCTCTCTCTCTTTTTCTTTCTTTCTTTTTTTTTTTTTTTTTGAGACAGAGTCTTGCTCTGTTGCCCAGGCTGTAGTGCAGTGACGTGATCTCAGCTCACTGCAATCTCTGCCTCCCGGTTTAAGCCTTCCTCAGCCTCCCAAGTAGCTGGGACTACAGGCGCGCCACTATGCCTGGCTAATTTTTGTAGTTTTTAGGAGAAATGGGGTATTGCCATTTTGGCTGGCCTTTGGTGATCTGTCCACCTCAGCCTCCCGAAGTGCGGGGATTACAGGTATGAGCCCCTGTGCTTGGCTAGAAATTAAAGTTTTTCTAATGTTTAATATTTTGGTTGAGAAAATACATGTATATAATTTTATAAATCTAATTTGACATCAATAAGGTGTACTAAGTGTTTTTATTGGTAGAGTACTCTATCATAAAAATGTTAAGACCACGTCTGTAGGGGCGTGCTGACATCCCTAATGGAAAACTCTTCAAGCTTTTTGTCACTATAATAGCTAACATACATCAGGTGTTTCCTATATGTCAGGCACTGTCCTATATGCTTTACAGGTATCAACATACTTATTCCTTACAACCACCTCATGAGATTGGTAGGATTATTAGCAGCCTCATCTTAAGGATGAAAAAAGGAGCTGGAGAATCAGGTAATTTGTTCAAGGACAGGGTCAGTATGTAGGAAATTCATGATGTAGTCTGACTCCAGATGCCGCTAGCTTAACCCCTGCTGTGTACCGTGCTGTGCCCTGGTTCCTCTGCCCTCACATGATAGACCCATTTGGCTTCCTGGAGGACAGGGACCATGTCTGTCTTGCACATTGTGCTAGTTTTTAAATGAATGAAGGAACTTGGGCCTATCATTTCCCTCTCTCTCTTTAAAAATTATCTTTTGCCTCATTTTATTTCCCAAGGGCCTGTCATCTCCGATAGGAACTTTGGACAAGTACTCCTTTATTTTTAACATGAAATCATTTTTTCCCCTTGAAATAAATGGATCTGATGAGAAATTGGCATGAGTTTAATTAGCAGTCCAATGGATAGAAACTTTACATGAAAAAAAGTCTGCATTCCCCTAGTACTCATGAGTCAGTTATGAGTCCCAGCTCACCCCTGATATGACTAATGCCTTCCTTTCTTCCTTTATCACAAGGGTATGAGAACAAGAAATAAACCTCAGGCTACTTCTGTACAGTGTGTAAAGTGTCCTGCAAGCACATATAACCTTAAAACAGCAAAAAGGGCAGCAGCAACGTGACCACAGGCATGATAACGGCAAAGAGAAGCAGAACCTAATGTTTTTTGGGTTCGTCCACTGATACTCTTTTAATCCTGATTTTTAATTGTTTAGTACAAAGATATGTAATAATTTATTGGGTCTTCTGGGCATTTAAAAGTTATTTTGGTTTGACCAAATATATCTATGATTTCATTTACATGTATAAGAGTATTGGGAGAGTTTTGGAAGTTTTGTATTCTGTCATCATATTCAAATTGTGCTAACTCCGTTTTCTTTTCTGTTTTCCTTTAAGGCTCTTTTAAGACACTTACTCTTCCATCAGTAAGTATCCATTTCAAAAATCTGGTTTCAGAAATGTATTGCATCAGTGAACTAAATAAATTAATATTTCATTGGATTTTATGTCAATTCACACGTTTCACATTTCATGTAAGATTGGCTTGAGTTTAGTTCAGCCTTCAGATTATTTGTGAATAATATTTCAGGGAGATTGATAATGAGGCTCTTCAAACTCTTGGCAGAGATTTTCTCTTGTAAAATAGAGGACTTCACTGAAGGAAACTGGCCTGGATTATTAGCACCGAAATACCGACTGGTCATAAAAAGAACGAGACCATGTCCTTTGCAGGAAGATGGATAGAGCTGGAAGTCATTATCCACAGCAAACTAACACAAGAACAGAAAACCAAATACCACACGTTCTCCCTATTTACAGGTGGGAGCTGGACAGTGAGAGCACATGGGCACACAAAGGGGACAACACACATTGGGCCCTATCGGAGGGAGGAGGGAGAGGGTTAGGAAAAATAACGAATGGGTTCTAGGCTTAGCACCTGGGTGCTGAAATAATCTGTGCAGCAAACCCCAATGACACAAGTTTACCTATGTAACAAACCTGCAGTTGTACCCTGAACTTAAAATAAAAGTTAAAAAAGAAAGGAATCTGGGTTGGTTTGGTCCTGCTTCTGCTGTAATGAGCCTTCTAGTGTGGAATGTGAAATTAACACTCTGTTCCTCAGTTTTCTTGTCCTTGAAAAGGGCAGTGCCACACTGAGACGTACTAGAACTCAAGGCAAAAGGAAAATTCAGTAATATTGACCCTGTCTTTGTTTAAAACCTTGACTTTTTTGTGCCTTGTGTTGCATTAATTTTGATGTTTTAAAGTATTGTATGAAAATATTATTTTCTTGATTGCTAAGTTTTTTGGTACTGCCTTACATTTTGTACCTTAGACAAGTGCCTCACTTACCTCACCATAGCCCTGGGCCTGGAAAAGAGGATGAAGATACCATTTTTATCTCACAGCATGTCCTAGAGTGAAACGAGATGTGGAAGTGTTGTAGCATTTGCTATAGAAATGGAAAGGGGTTATTATTTTGTTGAGAGATTCATAAAACCTAATTAGATTCTTGTAAATGAATCTTACTTCCTACAGCTTTGATTTGGAAGTTTGTACGTTTATTACTATGCTTTGTTTTGCAGCTTTGCATGTTTAATGTACAATATAGTAGACCACAGCATCCAATATCAGGTGCAATTTGATATATGCACTTTTCTGAGAACAGGTGACTAATGACTTAGGTCCGGACACATAGCATACTCGAATAGTATCAGCGTTACCTCATAAGACAGTTTCACTCATTACCTTAAAAAAATTTTTTTTTGAGACAGGGTCTTGCTCTGTTGCCCAGGCTGGAGTTCAGTGGTACGATCATGGTTCACTGCAGCCTCAACCTCCCAGGTCCAAGCAATCTTTTCATTTCCCGAGTAGCTAGGACTACTGGCACATGGGCCACCAAGCCTGGCTAGTTTTTTATTTTTTGTAGAAACAAGTCTTCCTATGTTGCCCAGGCTGGTCTCAAACTCCTGGGCTCAAGCAATCCTTCTGCCTTGGTCTCCCAAAGTGCTGGGATTACAGGAGTGAGCCACCACACCTGGCCGACTTACTAGCTTTTGAAAGTTACTTGCCAAGCACATTCAGAAACCACATTTGTTTTGGGAGGTTCACAGAGAATGTTGTACTCTCAAACAGTACTTTATAAAAATTACTCAGTATGCTATATCTATTCTGTTTCTCACATACTATATTTATGCTGTCTTTCCAAAGAAATATACTGCTACTAATAATAGAAAGTGGAGGGAAAAAAGGCATAAGCAGGCAGAAGTGGGGGGGAAAACCCTGCAGTCTTTGTGGCAACAAAACATTAGATTACATTAAAATAACCTAAAACGTTAGATGCTGGCTCCAGTACCTGTGTGCAGAGCTTAGTTGAAAGGGTATTCCAGTGGTAAGATCAAAATAAATCCTGTGTCATATATTTGCCCTATAACAGAAGGAGGGTGGGGTTTAAGTTCAGGAGTCACAGCCTAAAGCACAATAATTGTCTGGTTTCCTCAGAGGAGTCTGCAGTTTCACATACCAGAAGCGCAGAATGGCTGAAAGGAGAAGGTGGGGCAAGGGCGTGAGAGTTTCTTCCAATGATGCCGGTGTAAACTGTATGTGTCTGAGCTACTATTAGCTAGAAATTCGTCTACTACACTTCTTTTAAGTCTTAAGCATATGAAATACTAACTCTGACCACCAGTATTTGTCTTTAATATTATGCTATTTCAATTGTATAGAAATATAGCTATTATTTATTGAATTATAAATTATTGAATTATAAATAATAGCTATATTTGTATACAATTGAAATGGCCTAGTACTAAATATAGGTATTATTTATTATTATTTATTGAAAGCTCTACTAGATATTATATTTTGGAGTATTTCTTTTTAGTAAAGCGCAGCTTGAAAGACTTAAAGTGTGTGGACAAATTTGATAATGCTTGACAAAAAGAGGTGACTCTGCATTTTAATGAGTTTTCAGCTAAAGCAGAACCAACTTTTTTTTTCCCCACTGAGAACATACCTGTGGATAGAACCACCTTTTAAAGTGCACTTGCATTCTGACCTTTGTGAATGTAGTATTTTAAATTATTTTTAAGGTCTTTATGGCTTTTTACTGTGAAATATAAATATTTCAAGAGTGTATTAACACAAATGTGTTTTTTATTTCTGATTTACTCATTGTACTTCAAGACACTAAAATAACTCTCAATATGAAGTAAATAAAAAACATATTGATACTATAAATATTATTGTTTTGTACACAATATGGCAGAAAAACTTGTTTTGTTCTCTTTGTCAAATGAGGGAGTGGTTTTATTTGATTAGAAATGTTTTTAATGTGTAAGTATAATTACTAATATATTTTGAATGGAAACTATCATCTTAGATTCTCAATTTTGAAAAATTGTCTCTTCTATGTTTAGTAACTGGCATTATTCACGAAGTATATGAGAATAAATACTATTGTGCTCTCTCAGTTTCCTTACAGCAGTAAATCTTTCAGAGAAGGTGAAATGGCTTTAGGCAGCCCAGATTAGAATAAGTAATCCTTATTTATTGCCTAGGAAGAATCTTTTTGAGGATGCTTTCTTTATGTATCCTAGGCAGAGAGCTGTCATCTCCTCAGAGAGTTTGCATTTATGTATACACAACATAGACGTGCATAAGTGAGAATCAACACACCCAATCCAAGGCTGATTGATATTCTGCTGGTCAAAGCTTAGGGATATTGTCAATTCCCAGACTCTTATCTTGCTTTCAGACAGCCTCTCACTGTGGGAACTGCACCTTCCTTCAGCCCTGTGCCCTCTGGTTAAGGAGTCCAAAATCTCTGTGAGTAAATAATTGATTCCTGTGTAAGAGCTATGCACTCCAGCCTGGGCAACAGAGCAAGACTTTGTCTTGAAACAAAACAAAACAAACAAAACAAAACAAAACAAAACTAAGCAAAACAAAACACTTCCTTATTGAAGAAAAGCAAAAATTGACACCAGAAGTTATTCGAAGGTGACATACTGATTGTTTTCCCTAACACTTTATTATTAACTTTCCAAATACACGAAAAACTTGAAAACATTTTATAATGAACACTCCTATACCTGCCACTTAGAGTCTACCGTTAATATTTTACTATACTTGCTCTATCATTTTCTTCATATTCTTAACCATATTGATACTATTCTGATGTCTGCTATTGCTGGAAAATCCCCTTTGAGATATCTGTAGACAAAACTTATTTGCAAAAATGAGTCAGGGTATAGTTTCAGGACCTCAATTTTAACATGAAAATCAGCTAAAAGTCAAGCATGCTAGTTATCTATTGCTAAGTAACCCTAAAACTTTGCTTCAAACAACAATAAACTCATACTTTTATTACTTCTCTCAGTTTTTGTAGGTGAAGAATTTGGGAGCAATATGGTTGGACATTTCTGATTTGGAGTCTCACGAGGTTGCCATCATGGTATCAGCTAGGGCTGCAGACATCTGAAGGCTTACCGGGGCTGTAGCATTCTGCGAGGCAGCTCATTCACTGGGCTGACACGTTGGTGGTGGTGGTTTGTGGGAGGCCCCGGTTCCTCCCAGTGTGGGCCTCGCCACAGGCTTCTCTAGTGTCCTTATCACCACTCTGGCTTCCCCCAGAGTGAGTGATCCTAGCGAGAAAGAGAGACAACAGGCCAAAGGTATTCTTTTTAGGACATAACCTCATTTTAAGATTTAGAAGAAAATCACTAAGTTGGAGGAATTAGTGATTCCGCAGTGTTTAGTGATTCACCTTTTGAAGGGAGGAAGGTCAGAGAATTTTTGGACATATTTTAAAATTACCACATCAATGTTCTTATTAGAGTAGGAGAGCTCATGGTGAGTTTGAATCTCAGCTAGTGACTTGGAGCAACTTTCTTAACTACTATAAGCTGCAGCTTCTGTGTGTGTTTGTGTGTGTGTGTGTGTGTGAGTGTGAGAAATGGTTTTGATGAGAGTATCTAGTAATGCTGGAAGGTAGGATTTCTATTGTTGTTATTTTGAGATGTAGTCTCACTCTGTTGCTCAGGCTGGAGTGCAGTGGCACGATCTTGGCCTACTGCAACCTCTGCCTCCCATATTCAAGCGATTCTCCTGCCTCAGCCTCCCGGAGTAGCTGGGACTACAGGCTTGTACCGCCCGGATAATTTTTTTTTTTTTTTTTTCTGAGATGGAATCTCACTCTGTCAGCCAGACTGGAGTGCAGTGGCACAATCTTGGCTCACTGCAACCTCCGCCTCCTGGGTTCAAGTGATTCTCCTGCCTCAGCCTCCCGAGTAGCTGGGACTACAGGTGTGTGCCACCATACACAGCTAATTTTTGTATTTTAAGTAGAGACAGGGTTTCACTATGTGGCCAGGATGGTCTCAATCTCTTGACCTCATGATCCACTCACTTCAGCCTCCCAAGGTGCTGGGATTACAGGCATGAGCCACCGTGCCCAACCTAATTTTTGTATTTTTAGTAGAGACAGAGTTTCACCATGTTGGCCAGACTGGTCTCGAACTTCTGACCTTAGGTGATCCACCTCCCTCGGCCTCCCAAAGTTCTGGGATTACAGATGTGAGCCACCACACCTGGGAAGGATTTCTGTTATTAATAGTAGTAGCAGAAGTAGCAGCATCATCATCCCCACCAAGACTATGACACATATGGGCAAGATGCATTAGGAGAATGCATCTCAGAAAGCAGCTTGAGAGAAAATGGCAAGAAAACAAATCTTGTGCAAAAGAGCCTTTCATCAGCTGACTGCCTCAAATAGGGTGAGTGTGGAATAGAGGGTTGAAGAATGTTAGGTATTCTGACTTGCAATAACTGTTAGGGAGGACGCACTTGGAATAGGAAATGGCAAGATGTCTCCTGCTGAGGGAGAGCAGTGGGCTGTGTGTCCCCCATGCCAGGAGCCTTGTGATGTAACTGGAGAGCAAACTACAGGATGTTAAAAAAGAGGAAACAAATTGTTTAACTCTGGTGCCTGGGAGGGGCAAATTTTCAACCTCACAGTTACTTTTGATAATACCATGTATTTACCTTTTTCATTCTAACTTGTAATTAAAACGCTTTTGAGGTAAAATAGAGACCTTAATGTGTGATTTCTTTTCCCCCCAGCTACCTCTGAACAGTGCCAATGGGATTTATGAGCTACGTGTAACCGGACATGCCCAGGATGAGATTTTATTCTCTAATCGTACTCGCTTATCATTTGAGACCAAGAGAATATCTGTCTTCATTCAAACAGACAAGACCTTATACAAGGCAAAGCAAGAAGTGAAGTTTCGCATTGTTACGCTCTTCTCAGATTTCAAGCCTTACAAAACCTCTTTAAACATTCTCATTAAGGTAAATGCTAGACAGAAATGAAGCAAGGAATTCTAGCCATCTTACTAAAGCCCTCTGGGAAGTTCTGCTTGTGTTATTGACGCTGGAATATCTTAGAAGTCACCTAAGATAAGCTTCCCTCCCACCACAGAACTCCTCTATTAGTAAAGGAGGTGGTGCGTGCAGTGCTGGGTTAAGAGCTCAGTGTCTTAACCTGCTTGAGTTCTGAACCTGGGATCTTCATTGATTTATTCAGTTGTTAAACACTTATTAAGCTTCTCTGTTCCAGGCATAGCCATAAGGCAGTGAACAAAAGCAATTAAGTCCTGCTTACACTGAGTTTATTTTTCAGTGAGTACTAGAAGACAGACATAATAGACATACGAATACATATTTATGTAGGGTGAGGTATGTATGTATTTGTGTGTGTGAGAGAGAAAAAGAGAGTGAGAAAGAGAGTTTGTGTCTGCTACTTTCTTTCTTTTCTTTCTTTTTTTTTTTTTTTTTTTTGAGTTGGAGTTTCACTCTTGTTGCCCAGGCTGGAGTGCAGTGTCAGGATCTTGGCTCACTGCAACCTCTGCCTCTTGCGTTCAAGTGAGTCTCCTGCCTCAGCCTCACAAGTAGCTGGGCTTACAGGCATGTGCCACCACCCCTGGCTAATTTTGTATTTTTAGCAGAGATGGGGTTTCACCATGTTGGTCAGGCTGGTCTCGAACTCCTGACCATAGGCGATCTACCTTCCTCTGCCTCCCAAAGTGCTGGGATTACAGGCGTGAGCCACTGCACCAGCATGTTTGCTACTTTCTTTAGAGTTGTCTGAGAGGCTGATTTGAGCAGAGCTCCAAAGGCAATGAAAGAAAATAAGCCCAGACAGAGGGGGAAGTACGTGGGAAGGCCCTGAGGAGGAGCTTTTTTGGCGCTTTGGAGGAACAACAAGCTGGCGTGTGCTGGAGCCCTGGGAGCGAGGGGACAGGTGCTAGGAGATGAGGTCATAGAGAAGTAGGTGGGTTAGGGTGGGGCTTATGCATGGCCTTAATGGCCATGCTTTGAAGTTTATATTAAGTGAAATGAGAATTCACTGGAGAATTCTGAGGAGAGGTGGTATAATCTAACTGAACATCTTAAAAGGATCACTCTCAGCTCTAAAAAGAATAGATGCCAAATGCTAGCTGTGTGATCCTGGGGATATTTATTAACCTTCTAGAACCTCAGTTTCCTTATCTGGAAAATATGTAATAATAATAAAACCTCACAAGGTTTTTATGAGGATTAAGAGAGATAATTCAAGTAAACCATTTAGAACTGTGTCTGGCACATAGTACATGCTCATTGAAAGTTAGCCATTACTATGGTTTTAGGAATCCCTTTTGAAAGGTAGTCATTTGGTCTTTGCTGCTTAATACTCTAATGATCTGGAGGCACTGTGTTTAGCACACAGAGTGCTCTCCTGTGAGAATCAGGATGAAGACAAAAGAGATCCAGCTGGGCCTGGTTTTCTATATTTCAGCTGAGAAGAGCACTGGACATTTGACCATTACTTGGAAATAGGGTGACTAACATATCCCGGTTTCCCTGGTATGTCCCTGACTTTAAAACTGAAAAGTCTGTGGTCTTGGGAACTTCCTTAGTCTCAGGATGTTGGTTTCTCCAAGTATTCTAATGAATACTATAGTGTGGAAGGTAAAGTCAGGCTTTTGAGTCCAGTATCTTCCTATTCTTAGTTTATTTGTTATTATATATTTGTTGTTATAAATTAAAACAACAAAACCCAATCAAATAAACATGTTTACATTTAACTTTGAGCCAAGATATATTTGTAGCCAGTATCACATTGGTTAGCATGGTGCTCAATGCACATTTCTTGAATTGAACTAGTATTATTTCAGACTTTGCCTTTGCTATGTAACAGAATGTCTATAAAGCAGGTTGACATAGTGAATAGCATTTCTAAATTCATGTCATGCTCTGAGCAGAGTTGAACTGACTCCATTCATACCGTCCTTCATCATTTATCCACATATATGGAGAGCTTACTGCATGCCAGAAGCTGTGTACAATAGATGGTTTAATAAATGTCTGGCTATCTGTGGCTGTTTACATTCAATGTAACAGTTTATGCAGTGCTAACTTTTATCTGCCTGCAATAGACAACTGCATAAATTGCCTGTTCAAGACATTAACCCAGAACTAACCCTACTGGTTCTGGATACTGAGTCTGTGCGTTTTCGTAGTTCTGCCTCTCTGCTCTGCCCTAGTATCTTCCTTTGAACCTTTGATTTGCAGATTCTTCGGGCTTTTCTGTGCGGTGTGAGACTTAGCTGACCACATTTGGCTTTCTGGAAAGGGCTCAGAGAGACTTCCTTCTTGTTAGCTCTGGTACTGATATGACCCTCTTGGCCAGGGGAGGGGAGTTTAAACTAAAATACTACCTGGAACCCAAAGTGTTTGGGAACTGTGAGTGAGGGGTGGCCATGCTCTCATCTCTGTACCTAGGAGGTGATGCTCAAATGTGGACTCAGGTCTAACTGCCTTCCTCCTTGCAACTTGCAGAGGCCAGGTGGGAATTCTTTCAGCTGACAACAGACATTTGGGCCAGGTTTACTAGACTATGATATTTTCTACATCTTTCAGTGTAGAATAATTGGTTTCTTGGCAAAACTTTTCAGAAAAAGTTGGAGCTTAGCCTAACTAGAGCCCCTGACAGCTATCCTCCTTGGTGCAGCACCACCTGCAGGCTGATGTGGAGAAGTGCACCTGTGAGTTGGGGCCCATCTTGCACAGCCAGGAGTGGCTGTAGAATGTAGCTAAGATACTGACTGTCACAGCACGTTTAGGGGTGTTCAGTGTTCTTGGGGACTATGGGGCATCTTTGAGTATTATTGATCTTGCATGCCCCAATAACTGGTCTTCTCAGGAGGGAAAGGGGCTTTGAGGCCTTTCGGCAGTAGAAGAAACATAATCCATGTGTCCCGTGCTTCTGGCCTCCTCTAGCCAGTTTGGCCTGACGCTGGGGAAAGGAGTGCCTCTGACTCTGATGGGAGCTGGCATGTCTGGCTTCTACTCTGACCTCTCCTTTAAGAAGTTGTTGGTGCTAGTACAGGCCAATGATCTTGTAGAGAAACAGGTGTTATTGGCTTGGGGGTATATTCTGTGCCTGTGCCTTGACACTCTGTTTTGAAGCAGTGTTGGCCAGGTAAGGAGGCCGCCTTATTTAAGTGATTTGAATTCTCTAATTCTACTTTCTGGACAGACATGTCCTTCACACATAATCCAGAAATAGTCCTCGCAGACACATTCTCCAGCCAGGGAGCTTACTACTTGAGACAGCCAGGTATTGTGTGCTGTGATGAGGCATCTGACAGAGTTCCAGAGCCATCTAAAGGCGACTCAAAGGGCATGTGGGGCCACTATTCCAGGATCTCTGGCCGCAGCTTTTCTGGCTGTGACTCGGGCATCGTTCATACTGTATGTGACTGTGTCGTAGCAGGAGATGACCGCATGCAAATGCTGGGCTCTGCTGTGACACCACCATGCTTGCCTGGTTCAAATCCTGATGTGCCTTGTAGACATCTTGTGTTTCTGCATTCTCTCCCTCTGCCGTATTGGTGACAGTAGACCTGGGTCCATGACTGGCTTGGGAAAGCAGAGGAATTATCTTACTCACCCCTAACTCTCCAGATACCCCAGGTGCAGTCATCAGTGAGGTCAGTGCAGATTTCCTTCATGTCTGGGAGAAATGTACCCCCTCGCTACCATAATGTTTCAGTAGAATATGGACATTCTGTTTTCCTACACTTCAGGTAACACCAAAAATTATTATTATTTTTATCTGTGTCAGTTTGACAGAAGAAACACAATATTACATTGTTTTCGTTTCCTTAATTATTAGACAGCATATATTTATTGGCTATTTATATGTCTTCCTTTGTTCCTGAGTCTTTGAACTTCATAGCCCTCGCATGCATCATGCTGTGGCGGGCACAGTAGGGCCAACCGCTGATGACAATGCCTGGCCCAGGAGTTTGCCAGGGATACTGTGACCTGCTTGTTATTGACTTGTTTTCGGTCTCTGGTTTTAACAATCGGTTTCTGGCTTATGAGACTGCTTCCTGCACAGTTCTCAGCATGGTACTTATCCCTAACTGTCATATCCCTGCTCTGGGAAAGAGGTTTCTTCTGGTTTCTAATAACTGGCTCCACTCACTACTTCCCGTCAAAGTTTAGAGACTAAGACTAAGGGAAAATATTCAACCCGTTCTCAGTCACAATCTAGTTAGGAATAATAAAATATAGATTTTTGGCAAAATAAAATGTGTAAAATAAACATATTTTGCTGCCTTTCACAATAATATGTACTCAAGAGAGATAAACTCCAGATATACCGGGGGCTTTCCAGGAAGCAGTCACCTGTATAGGAGGCAAGAAGCTGGAACTGATTTCACCAGTGGACAAGGAAGGGAGGGATTTCCTTGCAGCAGCTGCAGAGACCTAGATGCATGGGCTTTTGGGAATAAACTGCAAACAAATCTGTAATGTTTAGAGGAAGATGAGCCTAGAAATGTAGATGGAGTCATATTAGTACAGGACTTGTAAACTATGCAAAGGAGTAGGCAAATGAAAGCCGTGCGTACCTAGTGGTCTAGTATAATCATCAAATATGATAATCAGTGACTATAAAATGTGTATAGTCACTGCTTTTTATATCTAGGGACTACGCCAAGTATTTCAACCACTGTAACTCATTCTCAGATTTGTGTTTCAGATGGATCACACTGTTGGCAGTGGGGAGAATGTGGTGGAGAGGGCAGGACTAGAGGGGGAAGATCAGTTGCATTAGTTGGAAAATAGGACATGGTGGCTAGATTGAGGATGGAAAGAAGGAGACAAATTAGAGACATATTAACCTCACAAAGTCCACAGGGCTGGAGATGTGAGAGGAATCTAGGATGACTGCCGGAACGGTTTGGATGAAGGCTACATGAAGGGATTGTTGTTTGGGAGATTATAGGAAGGCTGAAGTGTTTTTCACGTATATCTTTGCTTAAGCATCTCTCTGATATGCTTTTGTTGTGTTAAAAGGCCGGGCGCGGTGGCTCACCCCTGTAATCCTAGCACTCTGGGAGGCCGAGGCGGGCGGATCGCCTGAGGTCGGGAGTTCAAGACCAGCCTGACCAACATGGTGAAATAAATTTTATTTATTTAAAATACCTTTAAATTTTATTTATTTAAAAATCTTTAAAAAAATAAATGAATAAATGAATAACAAAATAAATAAAAGGCTGACCTGAGTTTGAATTCTGAATTTCATCATGCATTGGTGCTGAAATATTGAGTCACGCCAGTCACTTGAATGCGTATTTCCTCTCCAGGCATCAGTTTTCTCAACTATAAAGTGAGGATAACCCTGTTCTAAAGGAGAATTATAATGATTAGAGATAAGGCAGAGTGCCTGACACATATTGGGTCTTTAATAAATGGGGCCTGTTATTTCTACAGTTAAATTTTCTTTTAACACTACCATCCCCTGCTGCCAGGGATTTGGTGATATACATGTTGTAGTGTTTCATGTAGAAGGAAATTGGGTGCCAGGAATTTAAAAGGTGGAGCAGAATCAAGAAGAACTTGGAAGAAATATGAGAAGAGAAGAAACCGATTTGTCTTCTTCAGTAATATAGTGCCTACATTTTCTGAAAACTATCCTTGTGCCATATTTTGGAGGAAAGTCCTGGGTCTGGGTGGGAATACTGCAAGGCGTCTTTCCTAACCACAGAGGACGCACGTGCACACAGGCAGCCTCTGCTTAGTTACATGTCTGCTTTTCATTTTAGGACCCCAAATCAAACTTGATCCAACAGTGGTTGTCACAGCAAAGTGATCTTGGAGTCATTTCCAAAACGTTTCAGCTATCTTCCCATCCAATACTTGGGGACTGGTCTATTCAAGTTCAAGTGAATGTGAGTATAAATATATCTTTTGGGGGACTGTTAAAGTGATTTAATTAGGTCATGTGGGGAAATAGCTCTAAAGTCATTTATTCAATGAAGAGAAAAAAATTAATGTCAGCACCTAGGCACTGAAGTGGTTTATTTTTAGTTTATGATGTTTGCAAGGGTTTATTTAGCCTTCATTCTAACATGCTAGAATTTCCATCCCTTTTGGCCTTTTCTGTGATATAATGTGTAAAAGTTAAAACTTTTGCCATTTTAGTACACAGTGTTTACTTATTTGTTTCATGCACTGTTTTAAAATTAAGTAATAAATACATAGCTATTATTTGGCAAATTTTTTATCTTAGAAAAATGACTCCTAATGAGTGATTAAAAAACCTACTTTATCTTTGTTTTAAGAAACAGTGACACACCAACCTCTGTTCCCCATTTCTCCCTAGTTTCTACACCTATTGCCTTTCCTTGTTGCCAACTTGTGTAGCTCAGAAATCTAAATGGACGGCATTAAATGGCATATAAATGTAAATGGAGGGCATTCATTAAAATGCCCTCCATTTCTTTGTGCCTCAAGTTTTCTCCTATGTATCACTGTGTAATACTTCAAAATTCATTGAATGCTTTTCTTTGGAATTAAAAAAATAGAAATTCATGAACCAGAGCTTTAAAAATAGTTGTTTTAAAAAAGGGCATCTCACTATTGACATTTTGGAGAAAAATTCTTTGTTGTGGGCTCTGTGCTATGCATTATAGGTCATTTAACAGTATCTCTGGCCTCTGCCCAATAGAAGCCAGTAGTAGCTCTCCTCTCCCTGTAGGCTGTGACAAGCAAAAATTTCTCTAGGTATTGCCAAACATCCCTGGGAGGAAATATCCCTTCCCCTGTGCAGTTGAGAACCATTGTAGCTGAAGGAATAATCATTCATTAGCCTAAGGACCTGAGGCAAGATAAAAGTACCTAGTATTTAATATGTGCCCTGCTTTTTACTTGCATTGCCACAACAGTCCTGAAAAACAGGTTTTATTAAACTTAATTTCTAGATGAGGAAAATGAAATGTGGAGAAGTTTAGTAACTTGCCAAGAAGTTGGAGTTGGGAAGCAAAAGAAGCAAGATTTAAATTCAGGTCTCTGATGGCAAAGCCTGGCCTCCATAGCTGACCCCATGACCCTCTGAACCCAGGACCCCAGCATCATGATAGAAATACTTTGAATCTGGGACCTGGTTAGAAGATAGAAGACACAGTAAATCCTTATTCAATTTCAAAGCAGTGTTTCTTAGATCAGTTTAAAAGAAAAATGATAAATTATCAGGTTAGACATTTGAAATTGCCATTTTTGTGGGTCAGAAATACAAAATATTAGCAATTCTAGATGCTTCAATCTAAATAGATTACCTTCATTCAGACAAACACATGCTGTGGATAAGAGGAACTTCAATAGACAAACGGAAATATATGGATATTTCACATCTTAGAATTGTGATTCTATTTCTAGGGCATTCAGGAAGAAGCAACCCAGAGGGAAGAACTTGGCTTAGATTTAGAAATATTAAAACATTTAATTTTCTTGATTTCTTTTTTGGAGTTATGTTCTGACTTTTGCTCTATTTAAAAGTAATGGGAGGCATGGTGGCTCACACCTGTAATCCCAGCACTTTGAGAGACTGAGGCAGGTGGATCATCTGTGGTCAGGAGTTTGAGACCAGCCTGGCCAATGTGTTGAAACCCCATCTCTACTAAAAATACAGAAATTAGCTGCGCATGGTGGTGAGCACCTGTAATCCCAGCTACTCAGGAAGTTGAGGCAGAAGAATCACTTGAACCTGGGAGGTGGAGGTTGCAGTGAACTGAGATCATGTCACTGCACTCCAGCCTGGGTGGCAGAGCGAGACTCCATCTCAAAAAAAAAAAAAAAAAAAAAAGGTAATGGGAACTTCAACATTAAAAAGGAAGAAAGGAAGGATATTGTGACAATGCTCCAACCTGGATACAACTTGAGGACATTATCCTGAATGAAATAGCCAGTTCCAAAAAGACAAATACTTTGAGATTCCACTTATATGAGAGATTTAGAATAGTCAAAATTGTGGAAACAGAAAGAAGAATGGCTGGTTGTAGGGAATGATGGGAGGGGAAAATGGGGAGTTGAAGATTTTCAGTTCTGCAAGATGAAAAAGTTCTGGAGATCTGTTGCACAACAATGTGAATATACTTAACACTAATGAATAGTGCAGAAAAATAGTGAATATACTTAGTTCTATGTCATATGTATTTTACCACAATGAGACATAAAACAATTTAAAAAAATAATGAGACTTAACTGTTTTATGTGATATAAATTGGTCATTTAGTATATAATATGTAAACCTTTATATTTTTCTATAATATATATTTATGTGACATATAAACATGTAAGATATAATCAATTTTTTTCCTGTGTCTAAAGGGGAAGATATGTTAAATGAAATACATGAAATTGTAGCTTACTTTAAGCACTATTGCTGAGCCTTGAGTAGGTAGGACTTGTGTGTGTGAATTGACCTGTATGGATGAGAACAGTGCTGGAGGTACAATCGACTCTCAACATTTGCTTCATGGCCATCCTGAGTCTTTATGGGTTTTTGCATGATACGTTTACCAATCTTGTTCTTTTTAATTTAGCAGGAGCTCTACCGAATGTATGATGTGTTTTTTTTTTTTTTTTTTTTTTTTTTGAGACAAAGTTTCGCTCTTGCTACCCAGGCTGGAGTGCAATGGCACGATCTCGGCCGACCACAACCTCTGCCTCCTGGGTTCAAGCAATTCTCCTGCCTCAGCCTCCCGAGTAGCTGGGACTACAGGCGCGCCACCGTGCCCAGCTAATTTTTTGTATTTTTAGTAGAGACGGGGTTTCACCTTGTTGACCAGGATGGTCTCGATCTCTTGACCTCGTGATCCACCCGCCTCGGCCTCCCAAAGTGCTGGGATTATAGGCGTGAGCCACCGCACCCGGCCATGATGTGGTTTTAAAGAACATTGGTGGTAATATTATGAAAGGGGTTCATACTTTTAGAGAACAATGTATTGCATAACCATTAAAATCATGCACAATTTACAGTGTGATCTTTGCTTATTTCCTTATTTATAACAGTGTAGTAATAACCACTGTTATAAATGGAAGCCTAGAGCAGTGGGTGATGATTTCTAGGGGAATTAGAATTCTTTATATTTGAGCTTATAGAGAAAGTGAAAAGAGTAGGCATTTGTGAAAAATTTGTGTAGGAGTAGGGAAAATAGAAGGGAACCTTATGTGTCTGGGGATTTTGGAGAAGTTGATATTACTGGAGTATGTGGAGAATGATGGGAGATGTAGATTAGGAAGCACATTATGAGTTTAATTTGAATATTATTTTCAGTTCCCACTTACATTTTCCATAATCTTTTTTTAATCCATCTATCTGTCCATCTGTTCATCCATCCATCCATCCATCCTTCCATCCACCCACCAACTCAGTGTGTATTAAGGCCCTACATGGCCGTGATGAATACAAAGAAGTTAAACACATGACTTATATTTTCAAAGGTCATTGTTGTGGCGACATGAATAATATGAGAAAAATTAAATGACATAAGGGGGACAGACAACCACAAGACAGGGCAATAGCAGAGGAAGTGTAAGGTGCTCAGGCCAGGCTGGTGATAGAGAGAGTTTATTGTTAGCACAAGCACCGATGTTTTGGGGCCAGCTGCTCCCTCTGTCTCTCACGGTCTGCTCTGTTCTCCTGCCACTCTTCTGCCGACCTTTAAGGAGTCCTTCAGTTCTTCTCATTCCTTTGGCTTAGCTAAATAATCATCATGCCCAGTGTCTTTAAGGCAGGCCTCTGCACAGGTGGCTGGCAGCCTATGGGTGGGCTGCCCTTGGGTCAGGGTGCCCATTGTTGGTCCACTCAGAAACCACCTCTGCACAGTGACCAACAAGAGCAGTTTTAGCTGGATGACAGGCACTGAGGGATTAATTTGTTTGATGAATGGTGGACAGAGTAAGTACCAGAAGAGAGGGGGACAGAATAATAGAGAAAGACTTTGCAGAAGATATGAGATTATACTTTGAAAGATTTATAGGATTTCTCATGCTGTGGACTTGGCTTGTCATGTTGCTTTTATAGAAAAAAATAATGCTCTGAAGGAAATTTAGGTCATTAAAAAATTAAAAACCTTTGCAAGATCTGGCCCTTGCCCACCTTTTCAGCCTTGTAAAGTGCCGCCCTTCCTCATGAACTCTATGCTTTAGACATCTTACGTCCTTTATGTTTCTCTTCTTTCTTTTTTTTTTTTTTTGAGACGGAGTTTCGCTCTTGTTACCCAGGCTGGAGTGCAATGGCGCGATCTCGGCTCACCGCAACCTCCGCCTCCTGGGTTCAAGCAATTCTCCTGCCTCAGCCTCCTGAGTAGCTGGGATTACAGGCAAGCGCCATCATGCCCAGCTAATTTTTTTTTTTGTATTTTTAGTAGAGACGGGGTTTCACCATGTTGACCAGGATGGTCTCCATCTCTCGACCTCGTGATCCACCCGCCTCAGCCTCCCAAAGTGCTGGGATTACAGGCTTGAGCCACCGCGCCCGGCCCTTATGTTTCTTAAACTCACCTGTCTGTCTCATTCTGGAGCCTTTTCTCATGCTGTTCCCTCTGCTGGGAGTGTTTTTTCTTCCTTATTCTCGCTACTTGAGGGCATTCTCTAGAGTGGCCTGGCTGTTCCAGACATTCCCATAGTACTGTGTGCTTTCCACAGTTTATTCATGTTACTTTCTTTTTTTTTTTTTTTTTTTTGAGACGGAGTTTCGCTCTTGTTACCCAGGCTGGAGGGCAATGGCGCGATCTCGGCTCACCGCAACCTCCGCCTCCTGGGTTCAGGCAATTCTCCTGCCTCAGCCTCCTGAGTAGCTGGGATTACAGGCACGCGCCACCATGCCCAGCTAATTTTTTTTTTTTTTTTTTTTTTTTTTTTTTTTTTTTGTATTTTTAGTAGAGAC